TCAAGTGGTAGAGCGCTAGCCTTGAGCTGAAGAGCTGAGGGACAGCGCCCAGGCCCAGAGTTCAGGCCCCACGACCGGAACCCCCTCCCCCAAAAATATATTCATTACCTGACTTATGTAACTATAACCCCACTGTACATTACCTTTGTAATAACAATTTTTTTATTATTTTGTGCTAGTCCTGGAGCTTGAACTCAGGGTTTGAGTATTCTCCCTGAGCTCTTTTTGTTCAAGGCTGGTACTCTACCACTTGAGCCACAGCTTCACTTTTGGCTTTGTGCTAGTTAACGAGATTAGAGTCTTACAGACTTTCCTGCTCAGGCTGGCTTTGAACTGCAATCCTCAGATCTCAGCCTCGTGAGTAGTTAGGATTACAGGTGTGAGCCACTGACACCCGTTTAGAGTTTGGTTCAGCAATTTAAGTTCCTATGTGTGTACTTGAAAAGCAAAACATAGGTGTAATAAGTAACACATGTATGGGTTTTTGTAATAGCCAAAAGAGTACAAGCAACCTAAATGTCCTTTAATGAAAGGATGGGTGGCTGGACAGACGGACAAAACGTTGACTGTCCATACCATAGAACATTATTCAGTCCTACAAAGGAATGAAATACCAACACGTGCTCTCATATGAACGAGCCTTCAGAACATGCTGAGACAAACCACACAGAAGGCCCCACGTGGCATGATTCCATTTATATAGCATGCCCAGAACAGGCAGGTCCATCAGATGGAGGACAAGTAGCTAGTGGGAGAAGGAAGGGCTCAGCAGACCCAGGGTTTCAGTCTGGGGCAATGAAGCTTTTCTGGAGTTAGGCAGTAATGGTGGCTGCCCAACACTTCAAAGTCCTGGAAGCCACTGAACTGTGCAGGTCGAGATGGTAACTTTTACATTATATGAATTTTACAATTGGAAAACAGTGTGTGCACATGCGCATACATGGGCATACATGCGTGCATGTGTGCACATACATATGCTGATATTGGGGCTTGAACTCAGAGCCTGGGTGATGTCCTTTAGCTTTTTTGCTCAAGAATAGAGCTCTACCACTGAGCCATAGCTCCACTTCTGGCTTCTTGGAAGTTAATTGGAGATGGATAATCTTAGGAACTTTTCCACCCAGGCTGGCTCTGAATTTTGATCTTCAGATCTCAGCCTCCCAAGTAGCTAGGATTATAGGAGTGAGCCACCAGTGCCCAGCCAAAGTAGTAGCTTTTATTTCTCAAAAGAAGCCAGAAGGAAGGTGAGAAGAGGTGGCCTGGCTCCCAGATTCTGGGTGTGGTCTGCAGGTGCATTTCCTCCAGCTGCTGGACTCTTCCTCTGGTGCTCAGAAATGATCTGAAAAAAGGGATGCCCCCACTGCTATGAGTAACAGGGTAGTGAAGAGTCCCTTAATCCCCATGGTGTGCAGTGGGTTCCTTCCTCCCCTTCTCAGTCCCCTGGGACCTGTGGTGCTAGGAACTCAGGGCTCAGGGAAGGGTAGGAGACAAGCCCCCCCTCCATCACCCCTCACCAGTGGGAGACCTGGGTTTGGGGTAAAACAGAATGGATTCTTTGAAGAGGGCTGAAAGAGGATAGAAAAATGCTGGGGCAGGAAGGGGCTGAGAGTTGGGTAGAGCCAGTAGATGATGGGCTCCCTGAGAGTCAAGGTGGCTGGAAAGCTACTGGCCCTAGATGGATGAGGCCCAGGTCTCCCATGAGCCTCCTGAGTGGCTTACCATCTCCCAGGAGATCAGGGGCTGGGCTGAAGGGCCCCGGGGGCAGGTTCCAGGCCAGTTCCTTCAGCAGACCCAGCAGGCTGTGGACTTCCGCCTCCAAGTGCTCCACTGTCTTCTGTATGGTCTACAGAGGGGATGCAAGGGGCAAGGCCAAAGATATGGACAGGAATAAGGGCAATGCACACTTAGTATGGACCATGGGGTGCTGCCACATCTAGGTCCTCATCAGCCTCTGCCTCTGCCTGCCTCAGTTCCCACTCAGGTCTCTTTCTGACATTGGTCTAAGAGTTCACATCTTGAGCTCACGTTTCTTTGGTTGCCCGCCCCCTGGTGGTATCTCTGACAAATAATAGACTAGAAATTGCAAAATTTTTTTTTATGGTTCTTTGTGGTGGTGTTTTTTTCTTTCTTTTCTGGCAAAGGAGTCTATTGGCCAACAGATTTCTTAGACTATAATGCCTTAAATGAAAAAAAAAAAGTACGATTGGGTCAGGTGTGGTGGTTCAAGCCTGTAATCCTAGCTACCTGGAAGAAGATTGAGGAAGGATTGAGCCCAACTCTGGCATGAAGCATTGGGAGACTTCATCTAAGTCCGGGCCTGGGTGCCTCGGTGGGCATGTGTGATTCCCAGCAACTGGGGCAAACATAAATGAGAGGATCAAAGCCCAGGAAAGACCCAGCCCCTAGGAAGGCTCTTTTTTAAATACTCAATACAGCTGGGGCAGATGGCTCACACCTGTAATCCTAGTTACTCAGGAGGCTGAGATCTGGGGATCATGATTCAAAGGAAAGTCCATGGGACTCTTATCTCCAGTTAACCACCAAAAAGCTAGAAATAGAGCTGTAGCTCATGTGGCAGAGTGAGCTAAAAGCTAAGGCATAGTGCCCAGGCCCTGAATTCAAGCCCCAGTACTGGCAGGTACGCATGCGTGCACACACACACACACACACACACACACACACACACAAATAGCCAACAAAATAATGGGAGCTGGATTTATGGCTTGAGTGAAGTGCCTGCCTAACAAATTTAAAGCACTAAGTTTAATTGCCAGTATGAAAACACACACACACACACACACACACACACACACACACACACACAAGATCACAAGAACTAACTGCCTTAAGATATTATTTCAAGTTTAAAACCTAAGTCTCTGATATAACACTAGATAGGTTTATTAATTCACTAAATAACATGGTCTACATCAGGCCTAACTACCATCATTATGACAGAATTCAGAGTAGAAATTACATGCTGAGATTATTTGTAACTGTGAAGGGATGAAATTCTCTGTGACTTAAAACTAGGACAAACGGGAATGCTAGACTTCAATGAAAGGTTTATGACAATGTGTAAATTTCCCACACATAAGGGTATGATCCCCAAGTTTTGAGCCATTCTGTATATCACAGAAGACCGAGTTTTCCTGTGGTCAGATGTAAGGCTGGCTGGACAGAGGCCTGGGGAAGACAGGTGAGGAAGTTGTTGAGCACCCAGTAAGGTCAGGTGGATGTTTAGCCCACTGGCCTGTATTTTCTGACACTCAAAACAAGGCTAGGTCTGTACCTCATAAAGTCAGCAACCTAGAAGATGGGTCCTGAAGTTTTATGCCTCCCTCACCCACCCATACATTCTCCCCATTACCTCTTCCATGACGTCTAAACGGCCTTGGACAGCCATGTGCTTGTCACAGCCAGAGTTCCAAGCTGGGTCTCCTGGGGAGGGGCTGAGGGGTTCAGGAGCTGTGGGACAACAAGTCTGGTCATAGTGGGACCCTCAGTTTCCTTGAGACACCAGAGAATCCTATTAAACACGGGACTTAGGGGAGGATGGTCCTGTACTTAGCACATGGGGGGGGGGGTGAGGAAACAGAGGATGATCAGGTATGAGCCAGTGTGTGTCCTCACTGCCCTTAATCCCTCATTAAAGCAACCGTCCTGTTTGTGTGGGGAGAGGGGAAACATTGTCCAAAAATAAATGTATCC